GGCATCAACAACAAATAATACCTAAAAAAATTTTTTAAATTAATATTTATGAATATTTTAAAATAAAATTATATTTACGTCATCTGGAATGCTACAACTGGATCTCGTTCTAAATCACTCATATCAATACCACGTCCTTTTTCTTTTATTTCAGGGTGTTTACGACACAACAACCATCCAACATGAGAAAAGAAAAATCCACGTTTGGCATTATGAGGATCAGCGTTTGTTTCACTATACTTGTGGTGCATACGATGATCTCGGGCCCATTCATAAATATGGTTCTATAACCAAAATAGATGCATTCAAATTTAATTGTTTACAATTATTACATACAAATTAAAACTAAACAAAATATAATTGAACAATAATAATTATAAACCTAAAATTATAGGTTAGGTAACTTAATTTGTAAACATTGTATCACTTAGCTTTACAAAACTAGAAACTTGGTATAGCAAACAATAGGATGTAAGGTTATCATATAATAAGAAACAAATAATTATGAGGGTTAGTTTCAATATTAAATTCGATTATTAACATAGAAACAATTTTAAATATTAAAAACTAAAATTAAATTATAATACAAGATCAATATAATATATTATTTGATGAATGACTTGTAAAAAAAATTATTTTGTATCCACAACATCACCATTAAAAAACAAAAGTATAATATTTAGTTTAAAAATAATAGTAATCAAATTGTTTGTGTATAAGTAATTTGAAGGTTTTAAAATAATTAAGTATCTGTGCTGATATTATTATTAATTAGTATAAAGTCACATATATATATATATAAATCATTTTCTCTATCATTATTTTTACAATATGCCTTTGTTAAAACAACACAATTGTAGTATACTAACAAACAATATTTTGAATATACCTTCAAATTTTAGTGTATTTGAATCTTAAATTACAAGTTTTAATTTTTTATTTTGGAATAATACAAAATAATTAAGCACTTTTCAACTAACCTCAAAGGCAATTGTATTGAAGATCATTAAAATAATACGTAATGGAAGTTTTGCTTTATATGATCGATGTGCCCATAACCTATGCGCTCCAGCAGTAATACCCAATCCAGACATTTGATACAGTAAGATTGCTAAATTACAAAAATAAATTAAAAAATAATACACATGATAATTATATAAACAATATAAGTTACCCCAAATTGATGTTGCTATTTTTGCAGAAGCAAACATTAGGTATGCACCATACAGTGCAGCTACATGTAGGTAAACAAATAAAGCAACATTTCGCCAGACAATTTGTCTTTGATATCTGTATGGTTTGTATTTGTTATTCTCAACAGTTTCTCCTTCAGCTATCTGATTTCCTTCATCAACAACAGATGGTTCCGAATCATCTTCATTGAATAAAACACTAGGAGTGCCAACTGGGCGCTTGGTCATATTTGGAGCCATTTTTAAATATTATTCCTATAATTGTAACACAAATAAAATAATATCAAACTAAATTATTTAGTTAACTTATTTTTTAAGAAAAAAATGTTCATAGTTATTAACACTTTTAGTTCATAAAAATCTAGCATTAAATTTCAATGTATATTTTTTTACATAATACAAAATATTAAATCATGGCATATTGGCATTGCATTTTTATGTATGTATTTTTAATCCCTTTAAGATAATTAATTCATACCATTTGTATTACCTGCAGTGCTTAATATTATGTTCATATTACATGGTATATATATTTATATGAATCGATGCATACCTACAGATGTGAAAAATAAAATGGTAAAATAAATTTGATGTAAATATTATGATACATCAGAATTAAATAAAGTGAATACATCATTGACTTAGTCAATTAACATATGGCAATGGTAATTTGTATTTCTAAATAATTCAATTGTTTATTAAAATATTTATATTATTGTATAGAAAGCATATAAAAAAGATTTAAAATCATACAGATTATAAAATAATTGAACAATTTTTTTTGTTAAGAAATTAAAGAGGGAACCTGTCAAATGAGCATAGTGTACAATATTCTTGTATAGTAGAAAAAAAATATTGTATCGCTGGCTTCCAAATTATAATAAATTAACTTAAATCAAACTTTAAGATAAAAACATTATCTGTGTTTGTACATTGAGTTTGACAAATAACTTTGTTTTGTTAGCTATTGGAAAAAAATATACAATTTAAATTTAATCAAGTATTCCACAAGAGCGAACAAAATATGTAAATAGTTTTTAATATTATTATTCATACACATATTGCACTTCAAACGCCACTTTATAATAATACCTATTATTTTTTTGTCGGAAGCAACCTACATAAAAACAAAACAATATTTTTAACAAAATACTGACATCATCACTATTCACTTAAATTTCATTTGCACAATCAAAATGTACCAATACTCAATATCGTATGTTAAAAATAATATATCAAAAGCAGAAAAAAATGCAAAGMGACAAAATAAATATCGACTTAACAAGCTATAATTTGTTTACGTAATAATCGTAGACAGTGTCTATATGATATTATTATACAAATTATCCAATATTGAGTACCTAAGGTTATTTTTAAATTATATTTGCAAATTTGCAATACGAAAATTGCACTTTCTTCATAGGAATGTGCCGTGTATACCTATTGAAATATAATATATAAACATCCATTATGGATATTAAATACTGTGAATTGTAATTATTCGTTGTTAATACATAAAAAATTAAGATTTAGAAAAATAGATTATTTATATCGGGTGGTATTTTTATGATTAGATATGTCATAAATTTATCAAAATGTTAACAGATGCATACGTAAACAATACATTTTGTTACGATAAGTTTATGGACTTAAAATTAAGAAAAAAAAACTATGAAATATTTTAATACGTTATATATTATTATTTTATTATTATATATTATTATTTATATTATAATACGTTCAATTGCGTAGATAATTGATAAGTGATAAGTGATTATGTAGTTTAATACTGAAACATGTTTTATAAACATGAAAATTATATTTGTTTGTCAATAATAATTTCATACATTTTTTATTTTACATTGATACGATTTTATACATATTTTAATAATTTAAAAATAGCAACTACACGCAATACACCGTAAATACTGAATGTTAACTTGTCAGTTACCAATTTAAATGTGTATAAACTATAAACATAATCAATGGTTAAAACCTCATTTAAAATGAAAGTATTTATTATTATACCCGCTGCGAATCATTGTATTAATAGGTAACTACAATTAACTAAGAAATAGAAACGATTTAATTTCTCAGTATGGATGTATGGTATATAGTTAATTATTTTGTAACTTTCCCTGGAAATACTTAAGTACAAATTAATAAGAATAGAAGCATCATTTATACCTAACTCAAGATTACATTGACTTACATAATATACAAATGACAAATGTAATTAATGGTATCGCAAAACTCGTTGATAACTTATTATAAGTTAAAAGAATTGTATTCATATTTTTTACGCCATGTACACGATTAAATCACGTGAATTTTTTTTTTAACAACTATTATTTAATGTCCAATAAATATTAAGTTAAGGCCATTTCATATTTTAATAGAAAAAAAACTAAATAACATCAATGATTCGTACACAAATAATTGATAAATTATTTATATTATTTATAAAATGATTATCATTAAATCAAAGTTTAAACAATGTAGTCATTATTAATTAATAGTTATCGTTTTTGAATATATTTTATCAAAACTCGCAACAAAATTGTATAACACGTAGTTACGGATATAATTTTTTTACCGATTATCACTTATTGGAAAATAAACATGTCTAAATTTACAGTTTTGGTAAATGGTAATAAGTAATAACAAATGAATTACTGAACATTAAAAAGAAAAATATAGAAATAGGTAGCATTATAACAATAGTATTAGCGGTGTTGTATATAACAACGTACCTATACTCACGCAATGCAGTTTTCTCATTGCTAGTAATTTTGTAGAACCCAGTTAGGGTGGGGAAGCTACTCCAGAATGAATAGTCACATATCACATTGATGAAGAATTATACGAGTCATAGTTAATCTGATAATCTAATTTTTTAGGGAGTTATCATGACCATTAAATAATATCATAGTCCTCCGAAAAAAATGTATGCTAATTATTATCATAAATTTATCATATAAGTTTACCCTTACTTTGACCATCTAAAAATGCATTTCAAGTCATTAAAATTAGTGTATTCATGAAGTAACAAATATTAATAAAATGTAATACGTATTATTCCTATTCAATCACTCTGTATATGCCACTATATAAAGTATAAATTATTAAATATTTTATTGATTTAATGATAGAGCAGATCTAGCCTCTTTAAGACTACTCTATTCTATATCTAAGGTTCCGCCTATATTAATTCTTAGTTATTATTTTTAACTAGAATACAAGTTATGATGTTGAAAAATGTATAATTTCACAACAAGTTTTAACCAGAAGCAATAAACAGAAAAATTTCTCTTTCTTACTCTCAAAACAAAGAAGATTTAACTGGTATTGAAAAATAAATATTGTGAATATTCAACGAAAATATAAATACCCTTCCGAATAAATTTTTTATACATTAGCTGTGTATAGGATCTCTTTTTTACTAAAAATGTGAAATTTACTTTTTGAGACTTGAAACATATCTAATCATTCGATTATCACAATTTTTATTTTAACAAGGTCGGGGAGGTCATATATATCAGAAACCTCTTCCTGCGCCAATCCGAATGCGACTAATTGTCAATTAGGTAATAGTCGTACTAAAGTGTCTACATTTCAAAATAATGCTTCCCCAGAAACGAATTTGACCTTACGTTATTGTAAAATTCTAAAAATAAGAATCAATTTGACCTCAAAACTAAATAAAAATTGTCTACTGCAACAAATGTTAAATTTAGATGGATTAGCAGTAAATCAATGGGTGAAAGCATTGAAAGAATGGATGGTTCAAAATAAATTGTATACATTTTCAACTCGTTTTAGAATTACGTTATATAACTATAGAATATACATGAGTACAGAATGTACAGATGCAAAAGGCGAGATATTCGAGTGTCCGATTTCAAAGTATGGCCAAGACTGATTTCACCTTTCGTTTAATAATTAATTTTGAACTAACATTATATAAATACGATAACACTCTGGAGTCTTAATGTGAGGGTAGCTAAAAATAAATACTAAGAATGCGAGAGTAGGAGAGAAATTAAAAACGGAAGAATAATAAATAATTTGTTTACTATAAGTTATAAAAAGGGTGAAAGTGATGTAAAATAAAAAAATTAACGATAAAATTATAAACTATAATGACGCGACTTTTTTTTTATTACCTATTGAATATTGATTGATTAAAGTAAACAATAGAATATATATAAAACGCTTGAAATATTTTACTGAAGCAGAATAGTTAGTATTTACTTATAGATAAGTACAACTATTATATTACAATTTTAATTCCTTCAACAGCCTCGGAATTCCGATAATAACTACACTTTAGTAAGCAAGATTTAGAATTTTATAGAAATAAAATAAAATATGTTCTACATTTTGGAAATATAATTAAGAGAGATTATAGGTACAGTTCAAACTCGGAGCATTGTGAAAAATCTAATTATTTAACTCCTAATTCATGAAATAGACACGTAAAATGTACCTATGATTTGGTAAAATAATTAAGACGCCACACCCGGATGTGTGTTGTCTCAGTCTTCCAAATGTACATCGCAAATTGTTGTCTGGCAGAACCAGTTTGTGTTTTTGTGGTTTAATATTAGAGAGAATTGACCTATTATCAAATTTAAAGGTAAAAATATTATTAATGGCATTTGTAGGATTTTATTAATATTTTAATTTTAAAGTGAGTAACCATGAAAAGTATTATAATTTTTAAATGTTTAAAAGGTTCATAAGTAGCTTTAAAATTAAAAAACTTAAGAGATAATGTAGAATATTCTTATTATTCACTTTAATATTAAAACTAACAACACAAAATCGGATCCACTGAATCCAAATTTGTGATGTTGTGCATTTGTGAGAAGCAACACATCTGGATGTGATATTTTCTTAACCATACGATTTGTATTCATAAAGCTAAATGTTTAACAATATTTTACTTATTGGTTTGAATTTCAAGACTTGGATAAGTTTCATAGGAAATAGTTAATTTAGTAGGGACATTAATAAGCAATAATATATTATTATTTTTATTTTATTTCATACCAGTACAATATTGCTAAATACTTTACTACTTCAAAACTATAACCTTTCTTTACAGAGTTTTTTATGGTCGCTACAACCAGACAGGACTGAAAAATTCAAATTAGGAAATTTCTTACTCAGTCTACATTATAAACTATATCTTTTAAACAATTTGAAAGGAAAGTGAGTTTTTTAGCATACCAATAAATGTTAAATTTTAAATAGAACAATATAAATTGTACAAGACATCTTAGTTCTCAACATTTGATTCTAGTTGGGAATATTAAAACATACAATTTACACTGAATATTTCATACAATTAATTACTAGAAAATTGTCCAGGCCACCAGGAATCTTTTAGGTTCAACAATAAAATGTTTTAAATTTCGCTGTAAGTTTAGTCTCTGATAAAATATATTAATCAGTAATTATTGCTATAATAATATTATATTTATATTACCTAGTTATTTTGATATCAAATTTTACTAAATACCCACTAATAAGTACTTAATTATAATGTACAACATTTATAACAAAATAATTGCATGGTCATCAATCATCAAAAAATAATTATTAATTTTATTATACTATTATTAAATTAACACTCGAATTAACATGTTTAGATTTACAATGTACATTTAGAAGGGGATTTTAAATATTACATAAATTATGGCCATCGAACAATTAATGAATCAAGAGGTATGGAAAATATAAATTTATTTAAATTTTTACATATTTGTAATTTATAAAAATGATTTTGATATATATTACGAAATAAATTAAGCTTCACTGATTATTTTTTCAAAAGGCCATGGAGCAAATATATTTCATAAAACTATCTGATTAAATACAGTTATACCCTAAAGATTTTAATACAAATAAAAATATAGTGAAAGTTCTAATAATAGGTATCTCTAAATAACAGACAACATTTCAGAGTATATTCGATATTCATACGTTTTGCTGTACCTTTAAAAACAAGCTTTAATTAAGTTGTGTATATGAAAAGATTTGTTTTAATATTAATAATCAACCATAAATGTTGAGGTACATTAAAAAAATAATTTTGAAACTGGTAGTTTGAAAAAAATATATATCAACTATATTTAACATGACAATAGGTTTTATCATTTTATTAAAGGTCATATGTCTATTATGTATACACCGTTGGTTTTTCATGAAAATTATATCTGTTGATTAATGATAAAGCACATAAAACACATAAACTACCTATTCCATTTCTATCATAAAACATAATAAGAGCAATTTTTTTTTACCTTGATATTGTCAATGATTTTTACCTTAACATCACAATGATATTAATCCCATTGAACAAAGAGATCAAATCATTTTAATACAAAATGTATGTAAAATAAAAATAAGTTTATGATAAGACTAAAGGTATGAATGATAATACTATTTTATGTAGTTAAAATATTTGACCTATTAATAAGTTCACAATAAGTGAACCTGTAATAAATAATAACTATACCATTTAGTAGGAATATAAAATAACATAAAATACTTTGAACTACTATATGATCAATACTTTGACAGAATTAGTAAACAYCAAAACCAAGTTTTATTTAGTAAAATCATTTTTTTTTTCCAAAATAATGGTATTGGGTAAATTTTACATACATAGGACATTTTTCATTTTTTCTTAAATTAAAAATTCACCCGAATTTAAAATCTTACTTTAAATAATTGCAATATTTACAGTTCTTACATATAAATTCAATAGTAGGTACTTTTAGCACATAAACCAGTACTCATATCATATCTTTTTTTGAAGAGAATCATACAACATTATGCAACTTTAGTGAGCAATACAAATTTAATTGACAGTCATTATTGAAATAAAATTAAACACATTAATTAAAGTAACTCTCGTAACACTCAAATACAGCACAATGGTACCCAATTACTCACTTTTTTTTAAATGGCAACATAGAATACTAATTTTATATTCCAAAGCAGAATATTATTTGAGAATAATTATGATAGATGTAAATTGATTTTTTAATAAGTTATTATTTAAATAATTTTAAGTTCAGCAGAATAATGTATCATTTTGCAGGATAACCCTGTACTATTCCACTCCAACCGATCTAAACTTTAAATACTCTAAGCAAGTAAATTAATTACTCATTCTAAATTTGATAAGTATGTATCTAAGTTCTCAACAGAAAAACTAAAATTTTAAATAAAACATTATCAAATACTTTTTTAAATTATGTGTGTGAACTCATAATACTGATTCAATTAAATGTCTTAATGTAAGAGAAAGAAATTTATCTACAAATAGGTACCTAATTTAATATTTGTAAACAATCTGACCTTGACTTTTATAAGTTTTTAATTCATTGGAAACGGATCTCATAAATATTGTAATATAAAAGGAAACTATGCATGTAATTAAAAAATAAATATATTTTCACAATATACCTATGTAGTATTATGTGTGGTATAATTATGAATAATATGTGCATGATTTTACTTAACAATTATTTAGTTGATTTTTTAAATATTTGCCAAGCAAAAATTAGTAATCAATTACAATCCACTACATTTTTAGTTTATTCTAACAGAAATCTAAAATTTAAGGGTTTTATCAAATCACATCATAATTTATCTAATAAACTTGTGGGGTCAACAACAATTCTTATTAAAATAAATACATTTTTAAAGACGTCATTAGAAAGTATCATAACAATATAATTACCATAAATATATTATCGTATTACATGTTACTTATTTATTAGTTTATTATATAACAAATGTACTGAAAATTAATTTACATACCTAAGCAAATAATTAAAAATAAAAATATATATTTAATCATAGGCACCTTATCAAATCTTCTTAAAATTAAGACTAATCACCTAATCAAAATTTATTAAAATTGAACAGTTTTTCATAGAAATATTTAATTATGTTTAATAACACATATTCTTAGTAATATAACCTTACCAAAAAGTATAATAAATTATTTATTTTCAACCTAAAAATATTTATTTTTTGATACATTTAAATCAATGATAATGAATACCTAAATAGGTAATTAAAAATCATGAAACATAAAAATACCAAATTAATCCCTTAATAATTTACAATTTTTCTACATGTATTTAAACATAAATAAATATGGTAAGTTAATAACAATTGTACATTTAATATAATTTAGTAAAGTTATCTCAAAAGGTTTTGCAACAGGAAATGCCAAAATATATATAGTACTCAATAATTTTAATTTATTTAAACTTAATTAAATAGATACTACATTAATTAATTCTTTATACCGAAAAAAAAATTAAAATATTTTAAAATAATAGACATAACTTTATAAACCGTAAATTATTAATTATAATTCAACATAAAAAATTGTTAGTTTTGCTTTAAATACAAAATCTTCATAATTTAAGTTATATTTCTGAAATTTGATATTATTTAAATAATTTAATATCTAAATACAATTTAAGGTCAACTAATATAAGTATTTATTTACTAATTGACCTGCTAATGTTAGCTAATATTGTAGATAGTGATTATCAGTACAAGTAATTACTTCAATAATTAGTTTGTACAGTAACACATTAGATGAAATTATTTTCAAATTTACAAATTAAATATGTACACCATAGAGCTGAAAGACAAATATGACCAACAAATCAATCTCAGAGGCGGTATTTTATTTGGCATTAGGTACAAAAAAATTGATAACATTCCAAGTTACATGAATTTAAATCAGATGTCCAATACAGTGGGTAGCAATAATATAATATCATATTAAGAATTTAAATCAATCATTTACCTGATATTACGATCCAATGTAATTCAAGTATTTGAACGCGTATTGAAGAATACTCGTATCACAGGAAAATATAACTATATTATATAAAATATTTATGTTAGCACATGAATTTTTCTATTTTTAAGATAGACCGCAATCGGAACGACAAAGGTCGTGAGACCAATAACAGTACATATTTATTCCCGAAGTCCAAATAATAACACCTCTAAGTGCGTCGTAAAAAATAACACACCACGCCGAAAAGGAGGCAAACTGAACGTCGTGCGACGAGCGGTAGTTGTTTTTATTAAAATTCCAATTTATTACGTATGCCGAAGAGACCGCGAAAATGTTTACGTTACGATATCGATATGCTTGTTACAGTAATATAACACGAAAACAAGTTTGGACATGAATAACGGAATAGCGAGTGATACAGTTGCGGGCCGCAACGTTCGCGCAAACGGCAAGAACTGAAAATAACTATTTTGTTCAATTACTTAATAGTTTATAAGCTAATATACCTATGGACATTGGACACGACTGGGAAACGGAAAATTAACGGACGACCCCTTTCTGATAAAACGTGATAAAAAAGCATGACGTAATTGTGGCCGTAACCCCCACTACTCCATTAAGAGTGAGCGTAGTGTGCATCGGAGCAGCTGCTGCTGTCGAGCCACACGACGCCAGCTCATCAGTGTTGCACGGCATTACGGCAACATTCAACCGTTGAAAAATGCGCGTAAAGTGCGTTCTCGACCTAGAGGAAGGTTACGTCGAAATACGAAACGAATTACAATTATCATTTATCACCATTATGTGATACGTGGTTTTTCGTAGTAGTTTCAATAATAAAGCTTGTAATCCTTTTTTATGCTCAGTGCCCAAGCCGAATTTCGCGAGAAAAAAAACCCCAGCATATTTTTTACATAAGAAATAATAGAAATAAAATTGATATGGTATATTATTTTGGAAATTGATATTTAATAAAAAATTGCCTTTTACCCTACATGTAAAAAAAATTGCATGCGTGTAGTATATAATATTATGTGATTATAATATAACCTAGTCAGCCACGAACTTAAAATAATAATTAAAAATAAATAATTTATCTACGACGATTATAGGATGCGTAGTATACTGTTATCTACTATCTACCAAATATCTAATACCGGAACTGAAATAAATAACAACTAATTGGTCAGTTAAAATTTCATCTTGATCGCGTTTAAATTTGAGTAAACTGATGAAAATTCTGAAAGTTTAAGTATCGTGGCATACGTATTATATCCAAATAACATAATACGAGTATATATTTAGTAATATTGTTTTTTTGGAGTATAAGACCGTTTTTATAAAATAACATAATACTACCAATATAATGCTGGGGAATTTTTTTTCAACTACCGCCCTAACTTTATGTCACTGTCTGATATTCATAATGGTTATCCAGATGATAAGATATTATATGATTTTAATAAAATATATTTGGTGTAACAAATATAATACGTATTATTTTTGCCGGTAGAAAATGGAAACCATGACTATGAGTCATATCCTCATACGTTATTAATTAATTCGTGAACGCTTTACGGTAACACGTCATGTTTTAGTACATAACACCACAATCATTTACATATTAAATAGTCAGATAGCAACTGTTATATTAAAAGCAATTGTTATATTTAAAACATACAAGGTGCCTTTTTTTTCGATCGACCACTTTTGACTTAAAACCACCCACCAAAAAATTAGATAGTTTTACGAAATATGTTCCTAGTTTCATTAAAATATACAATAATTATGTCATAAATAATTTTTCTTCTCGTGGCTGTAAATAAGTATTAACAACATAATACAATATGTTCCATATCTAAAACACTCTCAACGTTTTAACTTAAGAGTGAGTTCTGAAAAATGTATGTATACATTTATATGAATATTTTAGGTAAAAAAATATTAAAAGGGCAAACTGAAAATCAAATAATGATGATGGCGATGATGCATAGTAGTTTTACAAAATATGTTGATAATTATTATTAATATTGTACACATTTTTAATCATTTTTGTAGAATAGCATTAGTAAATAACTAATAAACAAAAAGTAACATGCACATGGGCAAATAGCTTATTCTAAGTAATGTTAAATTAAATGCATAATTTTGTTTATAATTAAGTACATTAATACTGAATATATGAATAAATTATGAATGAAATATGTGATAATAAACCAATAATCAATAATTTAAATTTAAAAAAATCCAAATACACCAGCATAATATTATATTAATATCAAAAATGAATAGGTGTGCAACTGTTTATTGATAAGGCATATTTCAACTGAAATATTATCATTTTGTTGTAGGATTGACTATTGAGCATAGTGTAACTCATTCTATAAGAAGTATACCTTACACAATCTGGGTTTTCGTCCCAGTTTGCAAACAGAGGCGTTCACAGATATTTTCAATGGGAGGGATTGTATAAAAATTATTTGTTTAATATGTGTATACATCAAAATATTTTTTAAATTTTATTATTACATAATATAGTAAAAAATACCAAGGGGAAATTCGATTATCCAAATTCATAATCACATGTGCTTGCACATGTGCATCGTTTTATTTTTGTGCATACTACAGTGTTTAGGACATATAAATAAAAATATGCAGTCTTATCATTAAGTATACTAATTTTTCTTAAGGATTATGCTATGAGGATAGAGAATGGTAGAATGATAAACCATAATTTAAACAATAATAGCATGTATTTGAATATTTCACCTGCATTTACTGTAATATAAATAATAACATTAATTATCTGTAACAGCAAATTTATTGTTGAACCAAACATATTATTAAAATAAGTTAAACCATCACAGAAGACCACTTTATTTATAATTATTAATTCATAGAAATGTCAATTGGTTAATAAATTTATAGACATATAAAAAGTTAATTTTTTTCTAAATAAACATTTAAATAGAGCATAACAAATTATTAGACGAGTAACTCGTCACGAGTTATGATTACTTTATAAATAAGATAAGACATAATGATAAAAAACCAGTTAAATGTACTGTATTATAGGTTAAGGATAACCAGTTTCAAATTGTAATTTTTTTTTTTTTTTGAATTATTACTGAAAAATTGTATGGTGTTATTTAACTATCCAAAAATGTAGTTGCATATTATAATAAAACTGTTTATTAAACAAAATCAATGAATAAATCTGTTGTGATAATTGTACAGATTCTATGAAATATAATAAATAATAGCATTTGAAAAAAATATAAGTTTATAATTTATCATACAGTGTTATATTATTACTAAAATTTAATTTGTGATGAAGAAAAATGAAGAAAAACAAATCGAATAGACGAAGACACATCCAACTGGCAACTACTATGTAGGTAAACTAATTTATAGTATTTTAGAATGAATAACTATTTATTAAACTTGCTTKTATTATTAAAAAATTGGTAGTGGTTTCATGAAATATTATCGTTTATTTAAAAAAAAAAATTATAAAAATGTAATGTAGTTACTAGTTACAAAAAATATATTTAATTAACATTTAGTTTAATTTATTAGGTATAATTTTAAAATTTAGTCTGTTGCAATAGCATACAATAAGTGGTCGTGTGGTTTACTAGTAGGTCTGTAATATAAAAAGTAATGTAGTTAAATATTCGAACATTAGATTTATGTAAATTTTTAGGATTAAGTAGTTACATTATGTGGCATGTGTAAATTCTAAATACTCGTTAAGTTTTAAGTATAATATTATACTTATATAATAACATTATGCTTTAATAGACATGGTTATTCTTTGATAAGCCTTTAGTCCTATTTTCATCATAAAGCCAACTACTTATTGCTGATAATCATTATGAAATATACATAGGGTTAATGAAAAATTTAATTTAAAAATGTTGAAATAACATTATATTAATATTATGATTAATTATAATTTATTACTAAATGATAATTTATTAGACATTTATAAAGGTATATTGATGTCTGCTAAACATAATGAAATTATGGAAGTCAATACTTTATAGTTTATACTCAAACTWTTAATATTTATGAGTTTATTATAGTCAGTATTCGTAGTAGACAACTTACTATACCATGAGATAATATCATGATAATGTATTAGATGAATGATGAGACTATTGGAAATACATATCAGTAGATAGGTGACTAACATACAACACTTCAACTAGAGACAACCAGACAACTAAATGGATATCTTTGAATTAGATGAAAAGCAATTAATTAAATAAAATGCAATCAAACGAATAAAACTAACAACTATATAGTATTGTCGACAACATTACCAAATTCACCATAAATAAGTGTGCAAAACTTACCTTTCAAACAATGTATAAACGAATCAAAATCTTTTGAAAACAAACACTAACATCTAATAATTAAGTATAAGTTTAGATTAAAACACTTTTTGAATGGTTAAGTACCCGATTAATCATTATTTAAAAAAAAATTTGACCATAACTTGATGGAARTAATTCGGCACATCAAAAGAAAGTTTCTAGAAATTGAGGTTACGTGTGTTCATCGATTCCTCTTTAAATCTCCCTGGAATTTTTCGCAGCGGTGATAGTGTGATGATAGAACAATATTACAGTATCACTATCACAAATTCACAAAAAATGATATGTTTAGAATCTGATATGACATATTATGAGCAAKCTGCAGGCTCTTTATGTATACCAACTAACTACTTAGTCAGCTTAAAATGGTTAGATCACGGCCTTAGACTAGTTAGATCATACACCAATTTATTGTATATGAATATATGATTTGAGCATGATGTAGAGAAGATATTTTCATATAATGACATTTTTTTTTGTTATTGATAGGTCCCTAGGTATGAGAAGGGGGAGGCAAAAATTAGTTTACACGCCACTATTGTGAAATATTTTGTTTTACCTATTGTCTATTAAGTATTTATGATTAATTCTATTTAAAATATTTATTTTCATTATTTATAATTTAAATTATTGTCTGTGGATAAATGCAATTAATTAAAAAATATATATAATGTATAAATCTGTGATTTTAAATATGTATGAATATATATATAATATTATACAATCCTAATATATGATAATACCATATTGGGAGTTGGGACAAAATATTTAAATTAAAAAAAAAATTAGAACCCTGTTTAAAAAAATAATTCAAATTTTGTTGTTAAAAAATATTTTTTAAATTGTAGTAGCAAAATCCTTCATTAGTTTATTAGTACTCTTTTTAAACGGTTTGTATCCTATATAAATATGTTTTGAAGAAAAAAGTATTCTTACCTACCATATATATTATTTTAGTATTAATATAATTTTTGCTAATTACTAGTAGCTATTTAAATAATATATTACATAACTGATATGTCACTATGATTTAGTGTAACACTAACTATAAATAATATAATTATTAATTTATTAAACTTTATACACAGTACCTATATTATTATTTTAT